AGACGTTGGACCTGCAAAAGGGTCGCCTCCTGTACGTCAAGGACTTGGGTCCGCAGATCGGCTGGAAAACGGTGTTCCTCTGGGAGTACTTCGGACCGCTGGTGGCGTACATGATATCCTACTCGAGGCCGGTATGGCTGTACGGGGCGAAGGCCGGGGCGCCCATGAACTATGCCGTACACATCGCCGCCATTTGCTGGACAATACACTACGCGAAGCGACTGCTGGAGACCCTCTTCGTGCACCGGTTCTCGCACTCGACGATGCCGTTCACCAATCTGTTCAAGAACTGCAGCTATTACTGGGGGTTCGCCTTCTACATCGGCTACTATGTCAACCATCCCTTGTATACCGAGCCCTACTTCGGTCGCCTTCAGGTCTACTCATCGCTGATAGCGTTTCTACTCTTCGAGGCGGGCAACCTGTCCATCCATTTGGCGCTCCGGGATCTCCGGCCAGAGGGTAGTACTGAGAGGAAGATACCGGTGCCCACCGGCAACCCCTTTACGTTTCTGTTCCGATACGTGTCGTGTCCTAACTATGCGTACGAGTGGTACTCGTGGGCGGCCTTCACGGTGATGACTCAGTGCTTGCCGGCCGGTATGTTCACGGCTGCGGGTTTCGCGCAAATGGCGATCTGGGCGTTGGCTAAGCACAGGAACTACAAGAAGGAGTTCCCGAATTACCCCCGAGGTCGCAAAGCGATTGTCCCGTTCCTGCTGTAAGGCCAGGGATGAGTGGATTGGATGGCATGACATATATACTAGTGATTGGTTTTATGGTGTATTGAATTGATTTTTTTCAATTCATTGAAGGTTTTGATGGATTAATACTTCCATTACTTATATATTTTTTTAGCAATAATTATATGTTTTTTCTGTCAATTATTTTTTTTTGTTAATGAGTTTTAGTTTGATTACAATTTTTTTGTGTTTTTTATTTTTCTTACGGTTTCTATTGTAAAGGCTTTTTTGATACCCATATTGTAGACTATTATTGTGTGTGCAATGGATTTGCAGCTAATAATAGTCTGTGCGACTGTTATAAGGTTTATCTCATATTATTTTTAAATAAATTGTAATTTAAAATTGTTTTTTTTAATTTAAATGTGTTGTTTATTGTCTGGATAAGTCTCGTAGTGATAGCCAGAGTCAGCATAAATGGTTGGTTTGTATGCAAAATGACTTTTAAATAAATTGAAAGCTAATTACTGCTGTACTGACTGCGAGAATTAGAAAATAGGTTTGAAATGTTTGCTGATAATCAGGTGTTAATAGTTTTAATTTATAGGAATTTTGTTAATACAAGTATTTTTACCGGTAAATTTATATAACAATAAATGTGTAAATAATTTCCAAATAAAAATAGCACTTTTTTGTACTTTTTTTATGTTATCGTAACCTTTAAGTTATTAGATAAACATTTGAATAGACTTTTTTAGGTTAGTCTCACCGTTATTATAGACTGAATCCAGTTATCTATTTATGGTGTCACTCGAGATAAATAATACAGGTCTTAATCAGTGAGCAGTACTCATTGAGTGCCTATAGGTCCCACAAAAAAGGACTTTAATCTGTTATGTAAAAGTTAGTGAAGTAGATATTTAGTCTATCTGGGTACGTTCATTTCAATGTCATACAAGGAAATATTTGCTTAAATTTAGGTTTTATTACTAATTTTTGTAACTAATAATTAGTATAATATACACACGATTTTATAATTTATAATTATAACAACTTCCTTAGACTAACCAATTGTCTGAACGTTTTATTTATATTTTTATTTGAAAGGAAATAATTAATAGCAGAGTTTTATACCGTTATACGAAAATACAAATACAATTGTTGTCTATTTTATTAGAAAATAAGTGAAAAATTATAAATAATTTATTACTTCTTTCCTATTAAAAGTCAATATCTTTTTAGTGATTAATTTGTTTGTAATCTAATGGCAGAAAAACTTTTTATTACCGAATACAGAGTATTTTTGTAGTGAAAATAGGCATTAAATTTTGTCGTAAAAATAGTTATAAAACAAATTCATTAATAAAACTTGAAAATTAAATCCTATAAAAATTACTACACTTAACGACTCTCTCTCTCTCTCTCTCTCTCGATGTGATCATCACAATAGTTATGAACTCTTTTGTCATGAAAAGTGTGATTATTATTAGCGAAGAGGTATTAGTTTTTTAATAAATGAT